ACCCCAAGTTGCTTTTTTAGAAAAGATAGCAAAATGCAGTCCCACCTATCAAATAACTTCTACTACTTATTTTCACAGTGACATAAACAGTATGCATAGCTTCCATAAAAATCACTGAGACTACATTGCATTTCATTAAGTCAACTGTCTTTGCATACAAACCAAAACAACTTAAGACATAAAGTAAGAACTTTAGGGGAAACCTCTACAAAGTTCACAGATCTTTGACCATCTACAAGGCTGGTCCCTAAAGGCTTTGTAAAAACACATTGGGCAATACTATTCTATTAATTATAAGTACTATGGCTGTATAATAGGCTTTGATTTACAAAATAACTCTAATTCTGTTTTAATATTGGAAAGTAATCTATACATTTGCAGTGGTAACAGTGCTGTCTCTAGCATAACTGGCTGTGCTTTAGGAGCAGAAGGGCAGTGTATAAAGGCTACAACTGATCTGTTTGTTATTAGAGCAGCTGGTATGCATGGGCTTGAAATTAGACCCTATTTGTAAGAGATACAGAATAAAGATCTCTCTTTTTCCCTACCTTCATCGCGTTTCCTTTTCTCGCCATTTGAACGAGGTATACCCAGGATCCCATTTATGGAATAAGAGCCTACGGGATCATTGGAGGCGCTGGACACAGGTGGAGATGCTGTACTGGGAACTGAACAAAATGAGAAAGGAGATGTAAGCTTGTGAGGAGACATCTACTGTGGTTTCCTCCTTATGAATAAAAATGTAAGGAAAACCCATCTGTGAAACCCTACAGGAGTTACTAACACTGTGCTAAAGAGCAGATGCCATGCCTGCGCAGAGGAGGCAGCCATTATAGGACATCAACCAGCATTTACCATGTAGCTGACACTTGTATCACTGATAACCTGAACACCCAGATTGTCTACAAGATGGCCTCTTTAATGGGATGTCTCAAAAATGTCTCATTGATGACAGCATTTCCTCGTAGCTCATTCAGTAAAAATGTACTTGCATTATCTGTTCAGAGTATGTACATTTAGTATGCAATCAAACTTAACACAATGTGACCTTTTAATTGTTAAAGTGCATTTATGAAACAATTAAAAGTGAGACTTTGAATCATTAAAGTGGATTCATGAAATAGACAACTTAAGTAGATTAGTATCTAGTTGGTTTGGATGCTGCACTTTGCACAACATCATTGCTCATTACACTACTATGATAAAGTGTATGTAAACCCTAACAATAGACTTCTCTTATATGTTCCCTTGTGGTCTGTTTAAAGGCATAGTCCACCTTTTGCAAAACAAAATAAACACAGCCACATAAATGAAATAATAAATGAAAAAAAAATTGCATTTATTCAAGTTTTGCATTGAAGCCTGCAGAGCATTGCAGCTGTGATTGATGCATTCTATGTGCATTTTGCAGGCTTCTGCATTGTTTACTTCTCAGCCCTAAGCCTGTACAGAGGTACAGACCCACCCGTTATGGGGCTGGAGGAGGTAATCAATGGACTACAAGTGCAGTTATGCCACCACATGTTGATCATATCAGAAATTCAGAGCTGTCCTATGTCCTCTGCAGACTTCCTGTGTTATCTCAAAGAGCCCTCCTAGTTCTTATCTTGGACTAAACAATAATAAGCCTTCTTGTTGTAAAGATCAGAGTGTGGGATTGGTTGAGAGGTTTAGCAAAAGAAACTGGGCAGGGCTGATATCCGTCAGATCACAAAAAAACTGTGTGTGGTCAGCACACAACAGGTTTTAGGAGCTGAGTGCATTTTTAGCAGATCAACAGGTATTTTTCTGTATTTTCCCGGTCTTAAAAGGGATACAAAATGAGGAAATTTGCATGTATTGCAGATATGTACGGCACATGTTTTGCTTTATTTTACATTGACATATGTTTTAAATATGACCAACATTGTATTGAAAATATGGGACACTATGTAACTATCTATCTATCTATCTATCTATCTATCTATCTATCTATCTATCTATCTATCTACAGAGTTATACATCAAATAATGCAATATCAAAGATATATGTGTGGATGTAATTAATGATTACATAACATATATTTAACACTTGTATACCAGCTTCCATTATTTTGGTACTAGAACATTTTATTATACTTGTCTACACAATATTGCATTATGCTATTAAATCTTATACAAGAAGCTGCAATGCATGTGGTATAAAAAAACTGGTTCCTTAGAACTTAAACCATATCATTGTCTTCAGGAAGAACCATCATAACTCCTACACAGTTCATAGAAACTACAATGCGATTTTCAGTTCTGGCTAACAAAATATCACGCCAAGAGTCAACTTGCATAACACTTTTAAAGCGATCAGTGGTTGCTCAATAGTAGTTTCACCATAACCTTCTCTTTTTTTTTCTTGTAACCAGACATACTTTAAAACTTACAAAATGCTATTGCAACTCCATAGGAACTAAAAAATTTGATTGTTAAAGTGTTATTGAGAACTTCAATGGTAGAGTTATAACATACATTTTATAGAGGATTGGAAGAAGAGTGGAATAGAATTCCACCAAATATTGCTAGATTTTAAAACATACAGGTCTATTCACTAAAGGGTGAAGGGTTTGGAGAAGGCTGAAGAAGTGAACAATCTAGGCCAAAGTAGCTGATTTGGAAACAAATTTCATTTCAGCGATGTTGTACTAGATTGTTCACTTCTCCTGCCTTCTCCAAACTCTTCACCCTTTAGTTAATAGCCGTGCAAGTCTTTTGTATGACCAATAGGTGAAATTTATGGGCTATATGGGGCAATTGAACATGGTCTATCATCTGGCAGACATTTGGTGACAAAAAAATACTGTTCTCCATAGCAACCAGTCAACTATGCCTGTACATCTTTGGTTTTCTAATTTACATTAGGAAACAAGAGAAAGCCTATGACTAGATATTAAAACAGACAAGTAAAATGCCTATTTTTCTGTATTGGTTTTTGTATACATTATTATTGTAGAACAGAAAGTTGAGAAATACAGTTTCAGCACCTTATATTCCAGATATAATCTAGAAATCAAAATCAGATGTGATATATAATATATTAAGGGTTACTTTATCTCATAAATATAGTGTGTTTTAATCAAGGTTTTAGTGTGATGGCAGAAATGAGTGAGATACGGTGACTGAATTACCGATAGTGTGCCCTGGTGCGCTTACTGGCGTTCCAGATCCATCTGGTGTCGGGTGAAATGGCTGCTGCACTTTTGTTCGGATTATTCTAGAAGAGAGGGAGAACAAGCAAGATTTTATTATGCCTTCTTCCGGGAAATGTAAAAACACACCATACATGACTGGTCATACATAACTGAAAAGCCTGTCTATGGATGCGTAACTCCTCTACCCGCCAAAAGATTTTGAATAGATTATTCGCAAGAGATTTTTTTGTGCGCAGATTCTTTGAAAATTAACACTGGTGACAAGAGTTGGTCTTTAAAACATTACTAATGACTTGGGACATGATTACAGCTCAAAAAGATTAATGTTGCCAATTCTTTTTAAGCCATAACAAGCGTTCGTAGACAATGAAGCTGTAAAACAAACTGTGAAAATTAAGCCAACTTGTGCTTTGCTGTATAGTCTGTATTGTATGTAGAGACTTTCATATGTGAAAAACATAGCTAATTGCTGAGCATTTTGGGGACCCAAAATGCAAAAGATTTTCCTTTTCTAAAAATAAATAGAGTGTGTTCTGCTTTTTAAACAAGGACAAAGCCAACAATGGCATATTACTGATTAATTATACATGTTTTTACTGGTTATATTAGTGATATCAAACTGACAAATATTCTAATTCTGAATGCTTAAAATGATGGGAATGCCTGCTGCTTCCAACTTTGCACAAAAATGCTAACTTTTTATAAGCCAGAAAGTTGATTATTTTCTGCTGCCATAAGTAGTCCCTTTAATGTGATAAAATAGACAGGTCCTTTCTTTTTAAGCTCCCTTCATAAGTAAAAGCACAGTTGCATAGATAGATTATGTCAGTCAACCCAAATATAGTAGTGAACAAAGATTACCATTTTTCATAAATAAGCAATCCACAATATCAGTGATATCTGAGACTAGGGCTAATGGCCTCTGCAAAATAATGGGGTTGATTTTCTTAATATATAGAGAATTTTCATATTGCAAAATGTATGTTCACTTTGTAAAGTGAATGCTGGTAGCAAACCTGTGTTCACGTGATTTTTGCTAGCACATGATTGGTTGATTGTAGTAAACACAGCTTTACCTTATATATTAGGTGAATATTCATTTTATTAAGAAAACAGCCTCTACTCCTTTAGTGAATCAACCCCAGTGTATCATTGTCCCTGCCTTTATGTAAACCAAAGTTGATGGAGATCATTTTGACGTATAATCAACTCCTATATTGCCTGCATCCTTAAGAAGTCATTTGATAGCAAAGACATGGGAACCAAATAAAAAAAAAAAAACATTCTGAAGATGATTGAAATATAACTTTTTTTTACCGGCCACCATAAACATTGGTGTCACAGGCCTGGACCTAGGTTACGTGCATGATAACATTTCTAGTATTTTAAGCTTTGAAAGTGAAGATACAGTAACTTTTGATTTTCCAGTCTATAAAGCATTGCTTTCCCCGTGCTTTATGCTATAGAGCTCATCTTTTTTTGCCGAAGATACGGCCAGATCCTTCGGCAGCTTTGTGAATAGACCCCATAGTGCGTGTAACCTCTTAACAGCAATTGTGCTTTATATTGGTCCAGCATCCAATGCAGTTGTGTGCATAGTATTCAGTGTTTCCTCAGTGTATTCCTTTGATGTAGTACCATTGTTTAGTTAATGATCTGTGACTTGCATTAACACAAACACACAAATATACACACCATAATAGCTGTGGTAGAAAGAGCTTTAACACAGTGCTCCATAGCTCTACTTATCAGTTGCTTAACTGTTCTTACAATGCACACACCAATTACTGGCATATAAGTTTCAGTGGCAATAAAATAAAATTGGGTTAACTAAATAACTGATATAGGTTAATATTACCCTTTTATGTTCTCTAGTTCTGAAAACATATACCCTCCTACAACTCAAAACTCTCAATATATAAAATACTATATTTGTGTATTCCCACTATTTTAAATAACATACATTAGTTCTAAGTCAAATCTTTCTTAGCTATGGGGCTAGAATGTTTAATAACTGTTTTTTTGGGAGGAGGATATGTGGGTTTACTGAGTGTTCACTTTCATTGATCTTATCAAAAACTCAAATTATTGATGTGGCTTTAGACTCTGCTGGAACCAATGCAAGCAGAAAATATTTTGTTATTATTCTTCTTATTATTATTTTAAATAACATACATTAGTTCTAAGTCAAATCTTTCTTAGCTATGGGGCTAGAATGTTTAATAACTGTTTTTTGGGAGGAGGATATGTGGGTTTACTGAGTGTTCACTTTCATTGATCTTATCAAAAACTCAAATTATTGATGTGGCTTTAGACTCTGCTGGAACCAATGCAAGCAGAAAATATTTTGTTATTATTCTTCTTCTTCTTATTATATATTGTTTTACAGTCTTAAATAAATATTCACTTTAAACAAACTGTTATGGATAAAAAGTGGGTACGTGACTAATATATCAATTCACAGTTTAGCACCAAGTTTTCTTTTTGCTATACATTAAACACTGTGCTCACCTATATAAATGGGTATGCCTGCAGCTGTCCCTGTCATTCTACCAGGTGCATTTGGCTTATTACACAACATAGCCCTTCTCTTTGCTTAATACCTTACCACCAGGAAATGGGTCTGGACTTCAGTGTCTGTATTTTACTTAAGCACTAGATGCATGTAGGCATGCAGCAAATGTATGTATGTAAACTTTAAAGGCCTATGTGGAAATTCTCCTCTCAGTACATATTATTGCTTGGACTTTTTCAGCTTAAAAGTGGATGGAGATCATTTTGACATTTAATCAACTCCTATACTGCCTGCATACCAAACACTTGTTCTTCTTCCTTAAGAAGAAGTCAGTTGATAGCAAAGACATTCAAACCAAATAAATAAACATCCTGAAGATGATGGAAATATAACTTTTTTTTTACCTGCCACCGTAGACATTGGTGTCACAGATCTGGACCTAGATTACGTGCATGATAACGTTTTGGGAACATTTTTTGAAAATTATAATACTTGTTAGCACAGCCTTTCCAACTGTTCGGTGTCACTTTTCTTTAATCTTGTGCTACGGTCTTTAGTCTGTTCCCTTAAGGTGCCCTGAAGTGCCATAGGCTGTCTTCATTGATTTTACCAGAACTGTGAAGCCAGAGGTTGGGGATAGGGTGCAAGGCAAAGACATTTAAATAGAAAACATAAATTATTTTTGACAGTAAAGCAATAGTGTCAGAGAGCTGAGCAGAAGTCCTGTGTCACTATTAGACTCCTCTTAGCCTGATGACACTATAGTAAAGGTTAAATGTCTGATGGAACCATATACCTCAAAAGGGCTAAAGGATCCTAGCAGCAGAACAAGAGATACTGGGCAGCTATATCAGTGCTTGGGGATACATCTATTCATCTTATTATTGATTCTGGCTTGCAATCCATTAATCTCAAAATTTGTGGGGAATTCCAACACTTTGACACACGCACACACGTACAATATATTGTATTTTAGATTGTAAGCTCCCATGGGCAGGGCCTTCCTAACCATCTTGGTTTGATTTGATATTCTAAAGTGCTGGGCAAACTGTTGGCATTATATAAATCCTGTATTATAATTGTATAGTAATAATATTTATTCTTTATATTTTTGTCATTATATCTATTTTGTGCTGTTTAAGTTAACGTAGATTGCATTTTGCAATGCGTTTCTGTAACAGGCCTAACAGAGCTGATCCAATTGCAGTAGTAGGATTCATTCATTGCTGTGTGGCACTGCAGCTTACACTGACTTCAGAGTCAGCCACAAGTTAAAGGCTGAACAAATAATAAATGGACCCATTTACAAGAGTGCCACTAATGCAAGGGCGTTGTCTATAGCGACCAGTTTTCTAACAGCACTTTATGAATGGAGGTAAGCACTGGACAATTACATTATTATTCCTGAACTCCGTTCAGTGCGTTCCTGCTTTGGGTGCATTCGTTTGTGTTTTAGAGATTCTGTCACTACTTAGGTTAGCTCTACATTTTATTGTATAGCTGAAAAAGATTGTCATAACAGCAATGAAAGGGTTAATTTGGAAATTAATTTTTTATTGCTTGATTTATACCTAATATTTAATTTTCTAAATATGTTTTGTTTAAAACAAATCCACCCAATGATTATCTAATTTAAATTAAAATCCTCTATAAATAATATTATATTGTAATTTAGTTGTGCTTCCCAAGGTTTTTTGTTAATCCAGTTTCAGTATTGAAAATATTCTTTGGCTTCCTTATTTGTCTGTGGAAATACCCTATTATACATTCCATGTAAACAAGAAATTCAGTGAGTCAAGCACCTGAACTAATGAAGTCTGTTTTCGTATGGATTTGTGTGCTATGGTTGATTGACCTGTAAACTAAAATATACAAAGATTTCCTCATACCTCGGAGTACATACTCAGTAGGTAATTAGGAAAACAGGGCGCAACCTGCTATGATGGCCAAGTCCTTTTTTGTGATGTCATCTATAGTTGGGCTATATTTTCAAAACAATCTGTATTGGTTAATTGTGAATATTAGATTGATTCAGGAAAAAGCTCTGGGTAGTAAAACTCCCAAATTGATGCTAATGTGGAAAAAAAAAAAAATCTCCTCGATTTTCATTAAATCCACTTTTATATTCATACACAACAGACAGGTTCTAAAACATCATCTACAATAACCACTTTGATAAAATAACAACACAAATACTTTTACAGTGACATGCTGGTGTAAGCTACCCTTCCAGATAATCTAAACTCTCAAATGAAAATAAGATCAAGTCTTGTGACCGCAGAGAGATTGGTAGAAATCTGAAAAAAAAACTATACGAACCTCAACAGTCCATATTTAACCTGTAAGGGTTTTATTATTCATAATATAGGTTTATGGAACTGAATACAATGCATAAGGTGCTGTGGGTGCACGGCGATTACCAACCAAATCCAAGCATATAGTGCTCTTCCTCAGGCAGTTTAAATTAAATTTGTCACCAAGAAAAGAGGGCATGAACATGCAGCATTTCAGTTAGATAAAATACAAATCATAATTCTCAAAGGTGTC